GTTTGTATTTCTGTTAACAAACATAATAATAAGAAATCTTCATTATGGTGAACGAAATAATAATTTGATCTAAGTAAGAGAGTTTTTTTTCCCTTCATACGTGATAGAAAAAAATTAATATTATTATTGAAATATGCGTAGCTGAATTAAGGAAAATCCGTTATTAAAAACAAAACAACTTTTTTGAAATTTAAATTCGCAGACCTGTGTTATTTATGCTGGTAATACTAAAAAAATACAGAAGTTCATAAAAAGTACAAAGATATTATATGTTTGTTGGATGATTATACGTATCAGAGCAAACACGCGATCATATTTGTGTTCTAGGTTATTTGACAGAGCTTTCAAAAACACTGAATGTTTAGACAATAATAAAATGTTTTTCACGAGGATACTTGCTGTGGATAATCCTTAAGAACACCAATTCCTGTTTTTAAGGTCAATTTCATTATAACATTTTTTTTTTGCACTACAAGAGAAATTGATATTCCAATAACTACTGCAGGATATATTTATTTTTCTTATGGCAAACTTATTTGATCAAATGCAGTAGTATAATTGCCTTAAATACATCCATAAGTAAACTTTATTATGTCACACTCCCGGTCACAACTCGAGACATTCATAAACTAGCGAAAAACACTGTACTAACATTTTCTTGAAATTAGGCGACGTATTTATTGTTACTTTCTTTTTTCTTACATTTTTAAACAAACTGTTTGTGTCCTATTATACTTTGTCAGATTTTTGTACCTTGTAAAGACTTCTGTATTTCGTTACTATTGTCAACTAGGTCTAGCGTCGTTCTAAGAAAATTCTCTAAGATGTTGAATTTCTTACTGCTAATTAAAAGTCTCGTGCTTACCAGCATTTCCTATCATTATTATCATTAGTTAGCCCTTTTCACGAAAAAATTTTTTTGGAATTGAAAGTTATGTTGTCATTTTGCTGGTTATTATTGCTTGGACTTGTTTATGTATGGTCTCGTTAGTTAGCTAAGACAATAAAAATTAAAGGTTATTACTTTGTTTATCAAGTGGTTACGGTTTTGTTTTTTATATGAAGCTGATAATCAAAGTACCTGTTTGCTTTTTGAAATAATTGTAACATTTTTTGCTTGAATTGATTTTTTTCGTGTATATTTTTGTATATTTTATTTCATCTTAAATAACGCTATATTTATGGTCTCCAGTGAAGTTATTGAATTTTGAACGACAGAATTTCAACAACCAATTATTTTACACAATTTTTATGAACCTCAGCTAGTTAACTTTCTTCGCTTCTTGAATAGTTTGTTTTATGGCCAGTATGAAATAGCAACTTAGAAAGTTCAAGTGACTGTTATTCCAATGTTCCATCATTTTCAAAATGTCTAAGATAGACTATTATTAATCGAAGATCTTCAACATAAACGACTTGTCCAATCGATACATATATCCAATACTTGAATTAAATGTTTGAAACTTATATTGATATTACAGTGACTTATCTAATCAGTGTTGTGTTAATTAAATCGTGCTACTCACGTGTTTCGAAAGCTCTTTCAAAATATGTAACGAAATGTGAATCTGAAATTATTAAATGACGTGTGAGAAAAGTCAATGTTCATTTGTTAAATTTAACGAAATTGTTTATATTTCATTAAAAAAAATTCAATAGAATGCATTTAAATAGAACAAAATATGTTCATCGCTAAAAATAAACTGGCAAGAACACAAAGAGAACTATAAGAAAAGATTAAATAAATATTATAAGACCTTAAATTATTTTTTTAAATAAGTGCATACGTCAAAGCATACTGATTGGGTTTGAATCAACTTATACAAAGTTAAAATAAAACATTAAACTTTCAGATAATTCGCAAGTTATAGAACAGCCATGTGAAGAACATTCAAACATATAACGTCTTTTGATAATTAATAGCAATCTAAGATTATTATATACATATTGTTACGACAGCGGAGGTCACGTGACACTAGTAACACGTCATGCACTTCTCGAACGTTCACGTCCCTTCATGAAATCT